GTGACGCTGAAGACTGAAGTAATGATGCAGAAAATTCTGCTTTGCATCAAAGGAATCAATTACATTTTATAATATATTAAAATTGAAAACTTTCTTTTTTTAATGTGTAATAATTTATTTTTATTTTTGATCAAAAATATTTCAAAAATCATTCATTGTAATGTTTCAGAACTTTTGGCAGGTTCTTTAATAATGACTATTATATTATATTATATATATTATATTAATCATGATTATTAAATGCTGCTTTTTACTTTTACAGGACAATAGTATGTATTAATAAAATATATCTTGTGATAAGATACATTTTTTTAAATAATAAGCGCCGGGGCTTGGGGGCCAGGTCAGATTTTCCTGCTTTTTTGTCTCTAACTCATCACATGCCTGTTTCTCAATATGCACCCCTAATTTTGTGCATAAATCATCAGAGCATGCTATTACAAAGGACAAAGGGTTTGTTTTTTAAATCTTTCATCCAGATATAATCAATTGCTTTCTGGCTGACGTCACCTACTCCACTATTATTTTCCAACTTTTTTTTCTTCCAGCCATTTGTAACAATTGTATTAAACGCCCATTTTTCAAATCATTCCCAATCCATAAAATCTTTTTTTCCTTGATCACATGGAAATATCGCATTAAAGGGATAGTTCACACAAAAATGAAAATTCTGTCATTGTTTACTCATGTCGTTCCAAATTGATCAATGTTTATATATGTATAAAAGACTAAATTAAATCTATTTACTATATAAAGTAATCATGTCTCCTCAGAAGATTTGAATCAAACTGATCAATTCATATGGATTACTTTTACTATCTCTACAAACTTTTAGAATCGTCAAAGTTCGTCGGACAGAAATCTCTCAGGTTTCATTAAAAATATCTTAATTTGTGTTTCGAAGACAAATAAGTCTTATGGGTTTGGAACGACGTGAGGGTGAGTAAAAGGTGACAATTAAAATTTTTAGATAAACAGTCCCTTTAACAAAAGTAAAATGGCTTGCAAACGTCAATTCATGTTGACTTTAAAGAAATTAAACATAATTTTGTGTATAGACTGCAATATGGGACCTGCATGGGTTTTAAGGTGAATTTCTTTGTCTTTTGACTCTGACGCTTAAACTTTGTCTGCAGTGGTTTCATCAGAATTTTCCAACTATTTAAAAATACCACTGTCTTTTAGCTTGAAGCCTGTTGAATCATCATGTCTTTGTGTGTGTGGCTACAATGGAACTTGCCTGATGAAAAGATTTCTGTATAGTATCATCATTATGATTTTGTTATCATTGCATATGGTTAACATGCTGCTCTTTTCTTGTCAGGTTTCCAAACAACGTCCTCTTCACCAGCGCTTCAGGAGAGCTTTGGAAAATGGTCCGCATCGGAGGACAACCCTTAGGGTTTGGTGAGTTCAGGCTAAAACTCAGAGCTAAAACAGCCTGCTGTTACAATGAGAATGCCCACAATATCTAGGGACTAGAATTCGGGGGTTGGTTCTTTTGACTTGGGCCTGTAAGCAACCACCCAGAACACCCTAGCAATGTGCTAAAACAAACACCCAGAACACATTAAAGGTGGGGTATGTATTTTAAAAAAAATGCTTTAGAAAACCCGAGTCGGGCCGAGTACCAAAACAAACTTGTAGCCAATCAGCAGTAAGGGGCGTGTCTACTCATGATGCTGAGGAGAGAGAGCGCTCAGTGCACAGGGTGGACATTTTAGCCGAGCCAAGTGACAGAAAGATTGAGATGGCGGATAGATTAAAAAAAAAAGAGGAAAAATGTCTGCAGAACAAAAGAAGGCTTAAGGCAAGAACTAGGACCCGTATAAATATCGAATCAGCTTTCCAGCGCTGGAGAGAACTCGAGGAGCGGAAGGCCTGCGATCGGATGCCGAGGTTGCTTTGTTTCTTCTCGATAAGTGAGTAACACCGTGTCTATGCCGCAACAGCTAAAGTCTGCCTAGTACACTGGACGCAACAAATCGACCGTTGAAAATCATTTGAAATTTGTGTCAATACGTCATAAATAGAATGCAGCAGCAGTTTTCTGTTGGGGATTTGTCGTGTCGCATCCAGTGTAGACAGCATCACTGATTATAATGAGTTCTATAGTATTTTATCGTGCCGTTCGCGTCCGGTGTAGACACGGTGTAACATTGGTTTTGCTTTGTTTCACAGAACTAATCGTTGCCTAGGTTGCGTATGTATGTGTGGGGCGGAGCTATCAAAATAGGGGCGAGACCCTTTTGGGGTAGGGGCGTGTTTGTTTTGGTGATTTTAAATATCAACATTGCTACCAGAAATCGCTTACCCCACCTTTAACAAATGCTTAGCCACATACTCTTGTCATGATAGCATTCAAATTTGCCTTGATTGTAAAAAGTTTAAGGTGCGGTCACATTAACAAAATTTCAGCAAAATTTTGTGGGTAAAAAAAAAAGTTTTTATCTATTGTCTATAGTAGTGTATGTATGGAGCATAGTCACTCAGAAATCCCTTTCAGACCAAGCAGCCGTTGGTTGGTCAATGTGGTGAATCTACATGGGGAAATGTCTCGCCCTCATGTGAAATTCCCTATTGTGTGTATTTCTATTGAAATGGCTATTCTAATTCTATTGAAATTGACTGCACCTTAATGCACAACTACCTCAGTAAAACCAATATGCATTTGAAAGCTTGAGGATTTGGTAACTGAATTTGTAAGTGGCTTGTCTTCCATCAGATGAATGTGGCATAGTGGCTCAGATATCTGAACCGCTGGCGACCGCTGACATTCCAGCCTATTATATCAGTACCTTCAAGTTCGATCACGCTCTGGTGAGTTTCAGCACCCACCACTTTCCCGTCACCAAATATTCAGCTACGAAGGGCGATGTTTAACACCGCAACGTCTTGTGTCCACCCAGGTTCCCGAGGAGAACATCCAGAGCGTGATCGGAGCCTTGAGGACCAATGAGAGCACAGGACAGTGAGACGCTCTGCGATAGGATAGGAGTCCCACGTCCCTGAAAACATTTAGATTTCTTATGTCAAACTCTTAAAAGTGCCAAGAGCTTACCTGAGGACTGCTTCTGGGGGAGGTTATGGGAGAAGGATCAGAAGGCGAATGGATAAGTGTGGGGAGGACTCTAATCTTGCAGTCAGTATTGAGCGACAACATCACTTCCTGTCCATTTCTTGCAAAAAAAGAAAACCCTAATCCCCAACCACCTCTACAGGGGCCCTGCGATGGTGTGAATCCAGTGTTTTTCTTGTCTTCTTTCTCCCCCACCCCTCTTCCTCTTATCCACTCCTCCTCCGCACATCATTTTACCATGGCAACAGGGCCTGGACTTTAGCTACCGATTCTTAAGACGTTGCAAACAACCATTATGTATTAGTGGCAGGTCCTCCTCCTAGAGGACACAGAATGTACTCCAATGTTTCTCGAGATTTATTTTGTTTTTCCTGCCCCCTTCTTGTTTCCCCTTGCAGTGCCAAGACATGGGGCATAAACAGTCTCCTTGTCTTAAAATGTGATGTTTCTCGGGATGGAAATTGATGGTTCAGGGTTGTTGTTTTTTTATTTAGGCAAAAAATGGTCCAGTCACAAGTTCAGTCTGTGAAAGAAGCTTCTCATGCCCATTCAAAAAGTTTCCAGGTTTTGTTTAAAGGTTTTGTTTCTTTCCCCTAACCTCAATCCTATATTTACGTTTCAATGCCAAGTAGCTGGGTAATGAATTAGTAGTTGTTGTTGTTTTTGCCTTCAGAGTACAATCAATGGTTTTTCTGTCTGCCCGGCCGATTTGGCAGTGAACGTGCGCAGAGATCGGAATCAAGGATTCAGGTGAGGTGAAACCGTTTTTGTTCAGGTTATATACATTAAGTACACAAATCGTGCAGTTTACTGTATTCTGTTTTTAAACTCATTCCAATGAGGATGTCGCTTTTTTTTTATTTCTGCCCTGGAATCGTCACGTGCGTGCGATCGAATGAAATGTCTTTTTAGTCTTCACCACTACTCGCTCTTTTGAGTATTTTGCAAAGCTGTCTCTTTATTCATGGAGGAACTGTTAGGGGAAACCTATCATTTGTTGAATGTTAGTTAAGGTCAGGTGTCGCAGACACTGGCGTTAGTTTAGGCCTTCAAGCTCCCCTTGTCTGCACTTTATTTAAGGTCTATCTTACAGATCTTACTCTTCTGATGTGAAATACTGGGGATGAGTATTTTCCCCCTTGAAAGAGTCTCTTTTCGAAGGGTCACTTGTTGCTCTTTACACAAGGATGGGTGTCTTTTTTCCACAAGCTTTTCTTCTATCAGCTTGGAAGCAGAAATTTGCAGAAACCATATATTTATCAGTGTTAAGGGGTGACGTGTTTGTTCTCTGACAATTAAAGAGGTGAAACAATCTATTTTTTTCAGCTTACTTTGCTTTTAGGTTCAATTGTTACTTTTTTTTCCCCCACTGTTTGAATTGTTTTCTTAAGCAGTGGGGGTTTACACCATGCGACTGCTAGACCATGTGCCAATACACAAGTTTAAGATATTTAGTCATACCTGTGATTTACAAATGATTTCTGTGGGATGATATTTGCAGAAGCTACTTCTAACTACCCATACAAATTATTGATTGGGAGAATTTGATTAAACCAGCTCAGACACCAGAAAAAGTCATGACTTGATTGCTTTTGTTTTTATCTGAACTTTTGAATTTTGATAAATGAATTTTTCTTTCGGTTTCTTGACACTTTGTGTAGGTCAGAAACAGTCCCTTTATATTTGCACATTAAAGAGGGTGACTTTCAACTATTCCCTTCTTTTCCCTCAGAATGTCAATCACTATCAATCAGTTTGGTACAAATAAAGCATGTACTTGATTCTTAAGGAATCGTTTATATTTATACAGCCACCTGAAAACGTGATGAAATTATATATTTTATGTATATTTTATTTAATAATGCTCAATTTCATGAGCTAGTAATTGAATCAGTTATTTAGCAAAGGTTTGAATCCGTTTGTATCATTTTATTTTATAATATATAGGCTTGTTGAATTTAACACGAAAAGCAGATCTAGGAACAGCACAGATAATGTGGCTTTGAGCATACAGTGTCCACTTCAGGTGTTGACAATGTGGCAAAACATTTAGAGGAAACTTCCAAAATGTCCAAGTAGCTAACATCAGATTCATTAAGAGGACTCGAGTTATTTAGGAGTCACACCCATGTCTATTTTTGAGGTCAGCACTGTCACCAGCAGAGGAGGTGTTGCATTTCCATGTTACCTTAAACACAGCCTTGGCTTGCTTGATTCAGTGTGACATGAAGACTCCTTAGTGAGGGCCTTTAACAAGTCCAAAGTTCTGGAGAAATAATGAAACGTGGCATGCTGATGGTGTTCACTGAAGTGCCCGAAAAATAGGCCAGATTTGCCATAACAGTCTCTCATATGATTGTTTTGACCAGCGCTACCATGTGGTCAACACCACAGGCAACATCCGTCACGTGGCCTGGCACCGTCACCTAAAACAAGTGACAATCATTAGCATAAAGAACACAGATTAACATGTACTTGGTATAGTTCAGTGAATTTAAGATGCTAATGTACTATAGAAGTGTAAATTTGTAGATTCAATGCTTTCACCTGCTACAATAATGCAACGTGTTCGAATTGTGTTCATATATAAGCTTTTCTAAGCAAATATTGTTGTGTGATTAGCTGTGATTCATTTGAATAATCAAACACCGTTTTACCTAATTGCATTTGTAAATTTAAAAAAATAGCAGCCCTAGTTTGTTTGCAAAACCAACTGACAAGCTCTGAAATCCACACTTTTTCATGTTAAAAGATAGAATGCAATGTTGTTGGCTTCTTACCCTCCACGGAAAATACTGGTCATCATGTTTCCCAATGCCGAGACATCCTCTCACATTCTTACCCCAAACAAACAGCTCACCTCGATCTGAAAACAATATTCATGTAGCAAATAACCATCTATTTACATGGATGTTGGCCAGGAAACAGGCTGGATTTAATACCAACATGGTTATGCAAGCATTTGTAGCAGGTGTTTTCAGAAGAAAGAACATTAACACTTAGTATCCTGCATGAGAGCACATTTAAAATCTCTGAAAACACTCCAGGAGAATCTCTTAATCATACTCAATACAACGACATTTAATATCTTGAGTGAATGCATATGCTAAGTAATAATGTTCAGACTGTAGTTTACCTGTGATGGCTGCAAAGTGATTGAGTCCACAGCGGATGGACGAGACTTTCACTGTAGGGTTGAACTCTGACCTCCCAAAAAATGTGGCTGGCACTCTTTCTGGGATTGCAGACTCTGAAAGCTTCGGGCCTTTTCCCAGGATTCCAAAACCCCAAACAAACACCTCTCCTTCCTCTACATAGATTGAAAAAAAAAAAAAGAAAAGTGGAAGTGACGTGGCCAAGTATGGTGACCCACACTCGGAATTAGTGCTCTGCATTTACCCATCCAAAGTGCACACACACACCCGGAGCAGTGGGCAGCCATTTATGCTGCGGCGCCCGGGGAGCAGTTGGGGGTTCGGTGACTTGGTCAAGGGCACCTCAGTCATGGTATTGAAGGTGGGAGAGAGCGCTGTACATTCATTCCCCCCACCTACAATCCCTGCCGGTGCGAGACTCGAACCCACAACCTTTGGGTTATGAGTCTGACTCTCTAAACATTAGGCCATGACTTCCCCTTGAGTTATTAAATTGAGTTATTTAATTCATTACATAAGCATTGCAAAGAAAAGATCTTTCAAAGCAACATCAATTTGTGCTTTTTCAAGAGCTGTATAGCAGGTAGAATTCAACAATTATGCATTCAAATATTAAAACCCACTGAGCATTTTAAATTATGATAATGACAAACCATGGAACCACTATGCAAATAGAATATTCAGGCAGGTCATATGTTTTTTTTCTGGTAAAGCACAAAGGTACACTAATGTACTATGCTGGTTTAATTGTGGTATCAGGTTTTAATACAAGGTTTGGAAAAAAAAAAATATATATATATATAAAGTATTTGAACATTTTACTTCATGTAAAATATACACTTGAAGTATCCCCTGAGATTTTATAATATTTTTTAATAATAGAACAACAAATTTGCATTTCAGTCTTTTATCGGTTATTAACTGCTACCTGTCTTCTGTTTGATTGTCTTTAATAGATTTTTTTCTAACATTTCTGCCATATGTACATAAACTGACAGTCACCACTGATAAGCTACCACTAAATATTGTAGAAACTTAATTTTCTGTAAAGTTGCTTTGCAACGATTTGTATGGTGAAAAGCGCTGTACAAATAAACTTGAATTGAATTGAACCTTGACATGCCAGATGACATAGAATTCATTTTGATTTAATTAATCAATTTATTTGATATATTTATGATTTAATTAAATAATTAGCTTTTGATCAACTTACAAACCGTAGTTTGGGGAACCCCGATCTAGAATAAGAATCTATAAATAGGCATAACCTAGCATATTAGCATTAGGATTATTATTGTTAACTACAACCATAGCAAAAAAATTTCATTACTTAAAATCAAATATAAACTTATATTATTTCAGCTAGTTGCCATGGTAATATTTTACATTCTTGTTTAACTTAAAGTACTTAACATATTTCATTGTACGATTTATCATATTCATGTACTATTCACATTATGCTTCAGAGAGCACCACAGTACTTCTGGTCATTTATTAAGTGCACTGAATTGTTCCAGCAAACTTTAGGATTGTCTGACTGTAATCTTACCGTTCAGTACAGCCACCTGTGTTCCTCCGCATGCCGCCTGTCTGACTCGACCCACACCCCTCAGGGGCAGCAGCCGTGGAGAGCTCATCTGAAAATCAGACTTTACAAATGAGCTGCACAGCCTGTCATTGTTAGTGCATTGGCCTTTTTACATATAAAATTCCTTATAAGTGTCAATTCTATGACAGTGAACAATCAGTTCAATCATTTTTGATATTTGTTTGCCAGTTGTGCCCTTTACCTGTGTGGCCTCAGTGACAGAGGCCAGCTGCAGGTACTCCGAGTTTCCCCAACCAAAAACCTGCCCCTCCGTGGACACGGCCAAACTACAGTCTCCATATGTGGCCACCTGCTGAACTTTGACCCCAGCCAGATCTCCTCCGACGGGCACTGGACAGGAGGCCTTGCTGTGATGGCCCAAACCTTAAAATTTAAAAGACATGAATCCTGAGGGAAGGGTCACATGGTCTGATGTGTTCAAGTATCAGCCATGAGTCACCGCGTGTTGTCTGGATACATTTTTTTTGTGGCAAGTTTCATAAAGGAGTGGAACAAAAAGAGGGACTGAAAGGAAAGAGACCGAGATAATGACAGACAGATGGTGAAACAAACCTGTTTGTCCGTCTGCCCCCCACCCACAGGCGTACACTGAGCCTCTGTCTGTTAGAAACAGACTGTGATCCTGCCCACAAGCCACCTACAGGATGAGAGGAGCAGGACAGATGGAGTGAGACTCACAAAAAAGGTCCAGGTAATTGCCTTGCCTTGCCTATAAATAATACTTTGCATAAGGAAAATTAAGCTTATTAAAACCATAAATACTTTTGCACTGTGATATTTTCATGGTAATCATTTAAGGTAATTAAACACATTTAACCCCAAATTGTCAATATCGTAATGCTAGGAAAAAAACATGTCTAGTAATAAAAGCCATCCTGTTCATTTTCTTAAAGGGGTCATATGATGCGATTTCTATTTTTCCTTTTCTTTAGTGTGTTATGTAGCTATTTGTGCATGTATAAGATCTGCAGAGTTACAAAGCTCAAAGTCTCCCACAAAAGGATTTATTCTATCTAAAAGAGAAGGCTGATCCAGACCGAGCTAAAACGCCTCATTCAAACACGCTCCCACATCTCTACGTCACGATGTGGAAATATTTGTTCATGCATTTGTTCATTCTTTCATGCAAAGAAAGGCGGCGTGGTTTCAGAAGCTGCAGTAGTGTTGAAGCCATGTCAGGGAGACACTGTGTTTCAGTGCGAAAGCAAAAGCACTTTATTTGGCCTTCCGAAAGTAGATGCAATGAGGAATCATTGGTTAAGATTTATTTACAACAGAACAGCACATCCCAGATGTTCGAATTTGTGCAACGCATTTTATGGACGAAAGTTTTGTGAAACTAGGAGAGTAGCCTACAAGGCTGGCTGTGCAAAGGCTATTTCTAAAAAAAAAAGGGTCAATTCCGACTTTGCTATGACAATCTGGCGCTTCTGAATCAGCTACTGTAAGTATGTTTTCTTAATAGTTTAAGTATTTGCTATTGACTGTTCAAATGCGGAGTTTTGCACCGTGTAGAGTATCGCGTTGTGTGTGTGTGAGGGGAACAGGGTCACTCACAGTGGAGTCAGCTTTCTTAATCGCGGCTTATGTACTGCAAATACATACGAGCATCATCACTGTGTCTGACACGCGACTCTGTTCCCCTTTCGGGTTTGAACTGATGGTAAAACTAATGACATTATTTACTGTCTTTACATTTATTTTGAAAGATGAAGCTCGCGATTATGGTAAGGGGCGTTACATTTCTGACGCGTGCTTGTGGTGTTCGGCCAATCACAATGCACTGGGTCAGCTGGCCAATCAGAGCAGACTGCGCTTGTTGGAAGGAGGGACTTTGTAGAAAATGACGGGTTTGAGAGAGGCGGGGCATAGAGGACCTACAATAATGTACAGTATTTGAAAAAGAATGTGTTTTTTGAACATTAAAGCATGTCAACATATTCTGTTACACCAAAATACACAAAATAATGATCTTTAAAAAAGCATCATATGACCCCTTTAAAAATATAATTTAAAATACATTTTAATTATAAAATGTAAAATACCATATCATTAAAAATTAAATAAATTAATGTAAAGTAATAATAATAATAAATAAATAAACTAATACAATAAAATACCAAATGGTATACTTTCAAATGTTTTTGACAAATAAACCTATTATATTAATAACTACTAAGAATGTTCTGTCTGTAAACAATAGATTTAAATGTTGATATTGTTGCATTTACTATCAGATATGAATTAATGTACTGTATCATGCTAAAGTAACAATATCATCACATACCTGCGTGACTCCACTGTTAAAGCCTTCAATCTTGTGAACAACGTGACTGCCACTGCAGGGAATAGAGGAAAAGGACAGCCATTTTCAAATACAATTTCATCAGAAGTAGCTTAAACCATACGCTCAGAAAGATTATTGGCCAATTAAACCAGAGTACATATCATGCTCTACTTGGAAAAAAAGGTCATATTTGAGTTGATACTATTGCCTCTGATGTTACAGCACAAATCATAAACCCAACTTTAAAGGATCAATGACAAGCATTTCCCCATCATGCTGAATAATTATTTCACTCGAAGCAACTCATGAAATAACAGAGATTAAAGACAAACCGTGGTTAAAATATAAAGCTAATGGGATACAGGGAAAGAAATTGTTTTGGTTTAGCCACCACTACATAATGTGAAGTAGAGTCCTTTGGTGAAGAATACTGGGCTTATATTGCTGAAACACAAACCTGTACACTTCATCCTCCACAATCTTCCTCCCACACTGCCCATAAGCATTATTACCCATGCTGAAAACTAATGAGAGAAAGAGAGACATGAAGGACTCATACACTAGAGCACTATGATTTGATTTGATTCAAAACTGAAATCTAATGCTGTTTAAGGCATCTAAATGCCTGGACAGGAATTTTCCTTCCGATTCATCTACTGTATATAGAATCTGAGCACCTATAACTACAACTTTTGAGAAGATTTAACTCCACAGAAAAGTGCTCTCTAATGACAAGAAATCTCAGAAATGTTATATGACAAAGCAGACAGTGTTTGCTGACCTCCCTCAGAGTCTGTGAGCACCAGCGAGTGAGCACGTCCACATGAGACCTGCAGCACTCGTGTCTCCTGAGGGTTCACCAGCGGAAGAGACACTGGAGATGGTTCCAGGACATAGTCGTAACTCTTATCTGCAAACACAAGACAAAGCAGTTGAATTAGGAATGTGCTTGAGGAAAAGTTTGTTTATTGATAGATGTAATGGTTCCAGTAGATTTGGTAAAGGTTGGCAGCTCATTCCTTCAAAGAGGAACTGAGTGGATCATCAACATCAGCCACTATCCCATGTTCAATAGAAAGGGCTCAAGAGCACTTTCACATTAGTTACCATCAGAGAAGAAAAATTTTACTGTAACAACCCTACTTCCCTAACAAAAAAGTATCATGGAACTGCAGTTTTTATTTAAGTACCGTGCAAATAATATGGTAATTATTTCAAACCCCTGGAACTTGTTTGTTAGGGTAGTTTTTACCAAGAGCACATGAGTGCGATGGTATTTTGGGGTTTCTTACGTCGGTCGTGTTGAGTACGTTGAAAGCCCAGCTGGGAGTCTTTGTTAAGGCCCATGCCCCACAGTTTGGTCAGATCTCTGCTATTACACGCCAATAAGGTGAAACCATATCCACAGGCTGCTGAGGAAATCTACCACAAAACAAACATAACATATAATACCATTCAAAATATCTTTTTTAAATAAGTTAATACTTGTATTCAGCCAGGACACATTAAACTGATCAAGAGTGACAGTAAAAGCATTTATAATGCTGCAAAAGTTTTCAAATAATTGCTGTTCTTTTGAACTTTCTATTCTTTGAAGAATTCTACAAAATGTATCACAGTATCCACAAAAATATTAAGCATCACAGCTGTTTTAAACATTGCTAATAATGTTTCTTAAAAACCAAATCAGCATATTAGAATCATTTCTGAATTAATCATGTGACACTGGAACTGCTGAAAATTCAGCTTTGCCATTACAAGAATAAATTACACTTAAATTAGAAAACGTATGTATTTCAAATTGTAATGTTTTTGCAGTACTTTTTAATCAAAATGTAGTGCTCAAATTGTTTATCACATTCCTCATATTTTTGGTAGAACATCACCTTCTGTTCAGTATCCAGGCGGTAAGGTGTGAGCTGGTACTTCCTGGGCTTTTTTCTGCCACTGTCCGGCACTACAAAGCTTGGGATCCCTAAAGCTCCAGTGTAGCTGAAGCCCCACACAAACACCTTTCCTTGGGGCTTCCTGTGTTGACCAACATATTGGAACACGGGGGTGTCATCTTGCTGCTCCCGCTTTCTTGGGGTGCCAACTGGTCGAGTGGCATACGCACGGAGACCCAGCAGAAAACCACAACGGCCACAGGAGCGAATGCTGACTAAAGCCATCTGAATGCACTCACCTGCAAAAAAATACAAATTTACAACATAAACTCTGAAATACCTCATACCAAGACTGAATATTAGTATAATTAAGAGGATTATCCAACACTAACAATGTACCATGGTATAAGCATGATTTTAGATGTATTTATTAATTTATGTAGCATTTATCATGGTAGTTCTATGGTAAATGCTACGTACACAGTACTACTTAGGGCAGGGATGGGCAACTTCGGTCCTGGAGGGCCACTGTCCTGCAAAGTTTAGCTCACACCCTAATCAAATACACCAGAATAAGCTGATCAATGTCTTCAAGATCACTAGAAAGCTACAGGCAGGTGTGTTTGATTAGGGAGTGAGCTGAACTCTGCAGGACAAGTTGCCCAGCCCTGACTTAGAGGTATCATGGTGCACCATGTAAATATGATACATGAATATAGATTATATATATCAAGTACACTGTATTACTATATGATACCAGAGCATTCTGTATTCTATTTTGTTTGGAGGTGAACTCAATACTCACGCTCAATGATCGAAAAATCCTCTATAATATATTCGACAAACCGTTTCAAATACTTCCTGTCACATAATATAATTCACACATTAGTATGTCTGTAACTCTGCAAACTGGCTCGGCGTCTGAAATGAAAAATATACAGTAATATATTGTGAAATACGTCTACTCTGTGTTTTATGCTGCCCTGACATGTTTTCTTCGGGGGCGGCCATGACAGCTCTGACGCATGATGAGCTTCTTCTTCTTAATGTTTAACGGTGGTTGGCATCCAGCGTAATTGGTGCCTTACCGCCACCATCTGCTCCGGAGAGTGGATCAGACAACAGGTTCACAGACTAATTCACCCAATTCCCTCCTTCTCCCCCAAGCATACAAATCCACACACTTCATCCTTATTCTACTATATAATAATAATAATTGTAACCTTCCTCAATACTCCTATAACTCATACTCTATTAAAAACCCCTGTGTCCCTTAAAGGGGTCATATGATGCGATTTCAATTTTTCCTTTCTCTTTGGAGTGTTACAAGCTCTTGGAGCATAAAGAAGATCTGTAAAGTTGCAAAGACTAAAGTCTCAAATCCAAAGAGATATTCTTTATAAAAGTTCAGAGTCAGCCACAACTGCCTAAAACGCCTCGTTTAAACACGACCACACTGGGGTAGTTTTAAAAGCTCCACAACACAGCCTCAAGGCCTGTGCCTGGATTACATCAAGCTTTTTTAACAGAGATTGAGCTGCAGAACCAAAAACCACACACCCATAATCTAACACCGATCAAATTAGAGCCACATATATTCTCTTCATTAATAATCTACTTGCACCCCATTCTTTTCCCCTCAAACATATCATTACATTTCTTCTTCTTCGGTTTGATGGCGGGTAGCACCAATGTTAAGGTGCATTATCGCCACCTACTTTCATAATAAGAGGACAAAATAAATAAAAATATTTAAAACAAATAATTACTAAATAAAATTTAAAAAATGTTTTACTTTACCTCAAGAAGATTTTTCCCACTGATAGATAGATAGATAGATAGACCGTATCGAACAAGAAAACATATTTGCATAAATATATAATTAATTTTTTTATGATTTATTAATTAATTTTAATTCAAATCTATGCTATATCCCACTATAATGCACTAGACATATTTCTTTATGGAGAATGCACACCTCTGTTTGTCTTCCTCTCCTGCAGTGGAGATTGTGTCCCATTCCTGGATGGGGAGTTCAGTCTTCCTCGCTGCTGTAAGAATCTTCGACTCTGTCTTCGATAGGTGTTCTGACTGATTCGCTGACGTCCCTTAGGATGGATGCTCTGGGCATTGCGTATGGTAGACCTGTTGGCCAAAATAAATTTTGTAAATTATGATCAACCAAAGTGTTCCGTTACTGTTAGCTCGTGAACAAAGGCCTCCTGTAGCGAATCGATGCGTTTTTGTAAGAAAAAGATCCATATTCAAAACGTAATAATCACTTTAATCTAGCTTGCGCTCACACTGTTGTAAACGGAAGCAGTTCCGGGCAGATGACGTATGAGGTCGGCTTTGTGCATGCGCCGCTCAGAAGTGACAAACGTGGAAGCGCAGGGGAGAGATCAAAATAAAACAACGGTCACTAATTAGAAGTACAAAACGAGGATTTGTAAAGAAGAATGTCAGAGGATTTCGATATAAGCCAAGAGGAGACTGGTTTTCCTTTGCCAAAGTAAGGAAACTTTGCTTCCTTTGCTCCTGTTAACAAATGTTGGTTTTCACGAGACTCACTGGCGCATGCGCAACGCTGACCTCATACGTCATCCACCTGGAGCTGCTTCCGTGTAGGACTGTTGGCGCAAGCTACATTAAAGTGATTATTACGTTTTGAATCTGGATATTTTTCTTACAAAAACGCATCGATTCGCTACCGGAGGCCTTTGTTCACCCCCGGAGCCATGTGAGACACTTTTTTATTATGGATGGGCGCTTTTTATTTAACTTCTTTTGGACTGATGCATGCAACACCCGCTGATTGGCATTAAACAGCTTGAAAGTTCAAAGACAATTTTTTTATATAACTCCGACTGGGTTCGTCTGAAAGAAGAAAGTCATATACACCTAGGATGGCTCTGGGGTGAGTAAAACACAGCCTAATTTTCATTTTTGGGTGAACTAACCCTTTAAATCTAGCGGTTCTGTTGTGTTTGTGTCGCAAGTTCAGTGACGCAGGTAGTGATGATTCTCTTCAGCCAATCAGTGATCAGCAGAGTTTACACATCACATTTTGGTAACGGTACGGTTCACTTGGAACCTCAACCGAGGTGGTACTAAAAAAAGTACCAGGTACTGTACCCAGTGGAAACCCCCCCAAAAGTGAACCGTACTGAACCGTACTGTGCCGTACCATGCAGTGGAAAAGCGCCATATGTGTTGCGTTTCATAGACATATTGCTCTACCTTCTGGGTGGTGGTGTTGCTCTTCTGACCACCTCCTTCTCCGCATCCACCTCTTTCCTCTCTCCCGTCCTGCACAGGAACAAGGATGGGTAGAAGCCCGTATCTTCTCCTTTCCTGTATAAGACATTTGGGAATCTGATTCAATTATGACTCATCAAATGACTGCAAGCATTTCGATTGTTTCAAAACACCATCAGGTTAAATTTAGAGAGGATGACTCATACCTGACCACCCACCACCCATCAAGAAGTTTATGGATGACCTCGATCATCTCTCCTGCCTCGAGAGTCAACTCATCCTCTTCGACAGCTTTATACCCTTTAGTGGTTTTGTAGAGCTCTCCTGGTGTGGGTAAATATCATCAGTACAATCCAAACAGCATAATTAATAACTCCCAAAATAGTGTTTTGCATCTCATATCAGTGGCAGTATGGCAATACACACTAACCTGTGTAATTAGGCTCTGGTTCCTCTGATTCATCTGCTCCATCCAGAGGCTCTAAGTATGAAGCTGGCACCCAGCCTCTCCTGGACTCATATTGACAAAACCACCAGCCTGTAAACATCAGATCACATCACGCATTAGATCTGCTTTACCCCTTACTGATATTTGAAAATGTGGAAAGAGAGCTAAGTGAGTATGACTAGGTGCTTTTGAGTGCTTATGCAATGCAAGATTGTTCTTGTAACTGAACACATATGTGACCCAGGAAACCAGTCTTAAGTTGCACGGGTTTTAGCAATAGCCAAAAATACATTGTATGGGTCAAAATTATCGATTTTTCTTTTATACCAAAAATCATTAAGATCATGTTCCATGAAGATATTTTGTAAATTTCCAACCATAAATATATTAAAAATTCAGTTTTGATTAGTAATTGCTAAGGACTTCATTTGGACAACTTTAAAGGCGATTTTGTCAATATTTTGATTTTTTTGCACCCTCAGATTTCAGATTTTCAAATAGTTGTCTCTCAGACAAATATTGTCCTATCCTAACAAACCATACATAAATGGAAAGCTTATTTATTTGCATTATGCAAATATTTCCACATAGTGAGGTAGATATGTGGGGGTGTGTTAAAACGAGCCATTTTAGGTAGGCGTGGCAGAGTCTTAACTTCGATAAAGAATATCTCTTTGGTTTTGAGACTTTAGTCTTTGCAACTTCAGGGATCTTATCTATGCACAATCAGTTTGTAACACTCCAAAGAGAAAGGAAAACTTGAAATCGCATCATATGACCCCTTTAAAATAACTGTTTTCTATTTTATTATATAAAAGTGTTATTTATTCTTGTGATGGCAAAGCTAAAAACAATTTTTTTTATCATAATCAATGTTGAAAACAGTTGTGCTGCTTAATAATCGTATTTGATGAATAGAAAGTTTAAAAACAATTTAATTTTGTAGCAAACATTTTGTATAAATGTTTTTACTGTCACTTTTGATCAAATTATTCTTGTTCTTGCTGATTAAAAGTAAATAAGTATAAATGTCTTTATATATAGTAGTGTATATAGTAATTATAATATAATTAATATTGTAATTATAATATACAAGTGAATTTTCATTGTATTTAAAAATATATATAATATTATTTTGCATTAAAATAATAATTAATAAATTAAATAAATTTTTAATACAGCTACATTTCACTTCCTGCTCACCATTTGGGCTTTTTTCCACAATGTCCACCATGTCTCCCATCTTTAGAGCGAGCTCATACTTTGAGCTCTTGCTGTAGTCTGCAATCACTCTGTAGCTTTCAAGCATGATGGGCCCTGTGATTTCTGCACAAAGAACAACAGCTATAAAATCCTGTCGGGAAATGGCATAAGGCATTTGCAGATAAATTATATCAAAAGGAGAATTTGATCTTACCTGATGTGGTGTTGCTCCGTGCTCTGTTTGTGGACATAATGAAGGTCTCGTTTCTTTTGTATCTATAGAAAGACAAAAGTAAAAATAATGTGTTTTTTTGTAAATACTGTATTCTGTAGCAAAAAGCACAGTTGCAGTTTTTTATTATTATTTTATAATTTTTTGGCCTTGTTAATTTATAGTAGGGACATGATCAGTGAACATCATGAGCAGGATTTGAACATGTATTGTCATAACCATTATGGCTTAAAGCATCAGAGCATGTCCATAACCACAAAGCCACAGCTCCAGCTAACTTTAGCCAGACAGACTTACGGGTGCGGTGCTGGTGGAGTTTCATCTTCAGGCCGCATTGTGAAGAAGTCACATACAAGCTGACAGCGGGAGATCTTCGGAGGCAAGTTGAGAAGGGAATGAAAGTATTCAGCAAGAGTCACCTGCCTCGTCTCTGTTGTTTTCTGGTTGTCGAGCCATTTGGGAGCTGAGAGAGATTTAATTACAGATTGTGAGATGGAACGTTACACTTTTATTGTCTTAATGTAGTATTGTTGTGTTGCACAAACTATTTTGACTTTATGATTCCAATATCTTTTTTGCCTGCTACAACGGAGTACATTTGAATGGCTGTTTGCATGCAACACTACATCAGGTAAGATCAAATTCTCCTTTTGATATAATTTATCTGCAAATGCCTTATTATGCCATATTTCGAAATTCTTGTCAGTTAACTACCACTACACAACACTACACACTGAGTTGTGTCACAAGTGTGAGAAATCATTCTCTCTACTTGTAGACAACTCTGCGGTATGGTCATGTTGCACAAACTCTTTTGACCTCATGGTTACAATATCTCTCTAACTTGCATGCCACACTGGAAAGTCCAAAGAAAACAGCTTATCAACATCAGTCACAATATCCCCCATAAAAAACAAATCATTTGCAGAACTGAAACTCAAACTCAAAAAACCCAGAACAAAAAGGCATGACATGCAAATAGAATTGTTTTAACTTTGTGTTAACCACCTTTCATGACTTCTAAATTAATAAACGGACATATCTGATATGCTTGACATTAAGCAGATGTTTCCTCTTCTCATAGGACCGTTGAGAACCAAAACCTATTTCTGTATTGTCTGAAAAATGAAACTTTCACTTTATGTTGACTCATTTATTGCTTGCCGTAAGTCTGTAGATGCTGTTAACTTAGTAAAACATTTATGATATGTTGTTTTGTTCTTTCTGAAAGTAGATCAAGTGATCTGAAGATCTGTGTTTTAAATCACACAAGAATTTACCAGGTAATGAAGGAATGATTCTGTCATTTCCGTCAATGTCTCCTGCCTCAATTGGGAACATTTCCTTCAAAGCTTTCTGTAAAAAAAACATATATAAACTTATATATATGAATAAGCTATTTCATTTATGTTGCAGTCTGATTATAGGCTATGTTACAGAAAATAATTGCATACAAATATAACAGCGTGATTAGAAATACAGGAAATGCTTGCAGTGATGAAAATGAAATCGGGTAGGGAAAGGAAAATGTAACACTCTACTATACTTTCAATTGTAGAGAACTGAAAACTAGACTTACGTGAAATGTATGGATTTCTGGATAGCGTCTGTACACCAGCTTTTCAGATTGATCATTCCATTTAACCAGGAGCATGTAAACCTTAGTATATGAAAAAGAAACTTTTTGTTCTATAGAAAATCTATCTATCTAGAAAATTTTGTTCTATAGCTAAAACATTCTTCAAGCATTAAAAAACTTTACTTGTTTAATTTGTATAGTGTCTATACTTATCTTGATATTTCACCATTTTTGGAGAAGCATACTTACATAGTGCTGGCTGGGAAAGAATCTTTTCTCAAAGCCTAACATTTCCATATGTCGCACGTAAGATTCAGCCATCCTGCACGACAGAGGTCTGACCACGAGCTGAAGGGATGTAAGAGAGTGTGCTTTGCTCTTATGATCACCTGTGGTTTATGGAGTTATTATAGACTATGACAGTGGGAGGGGCATCCGCTCGAGCACTTCCTATTCCAATCCTGGCCATCACAGCCTGATGATGAAATACAGATAGGAAACTCCAGAATTAGTTATGTGTTCAACATTTTACTGTAAGTGTATTTAACTTTATTTCTGTGTGATGATTAGCATATTTTGGCTGATAAAGAATATATTTACACTACACGCTGTTTTGCACAATAGTACAGATTTTTATAAATAAATAGTAAATTAATTTAATCAATCAAAGTAAACTAAGAAAAAACACTAGACAGATGATAAGTAAAGACCACCAAGCCCAGCTTTAGAACACCTATAAAACAATTTAGGAGCTACCTTTAAATGCATGAAGACAAACATACAAACCTGCAGGTACACAGTGCAGCATAGAAGAAAACCTAACTATTACAGAATTGTTTAAGGATTTTTTTTATTTTTAATCTTATTTAAGTAACTGTACTGGTCTTTCTAGACAGATACTATAGGGAAAAAGTGGAAAATAAATAGCAAAAAATCAATTGAACAATAAAAGTAATAGATACAGTTAGTTTTGGGTAGTTCAAAATTCTGTCAAAACTAGTTCAAAATAGTTGGACATTCTGTCATCATTTACTCACCCCAAACCTGTATGCGTTTCTTTCTTCTGTCGAACATAAAAGACAATATTCTGAAGAATGTTTGCAACCAAACAGTTGCTGGAAGCCAATGACTTCCATAGCATAAAAAATAAATACTGTGGAAGTCAATGGGGACTAGAAACTGTTTGGTTACGCACAATCATCAAAATATCTTATTTTATGCTCAGCAGAAGAAAGAAACTTTGGAACAAATTGAAGGTGAGTAAATAATGTAAAGTAAGTTGGGTGAACTATCCCTTTTAAATGATTGTGTTAAAGACAGATCTATAAACGATATATTTCAACATATCTAAATATTTATATATATACACACACTTTATAGAGAGCTGGCATAACCTCTTCAAATATGTCATTGTTTTGTTATTCATAGTTTAGGTCATTGTTGGCTTACAGTTAATGCAGGCATTCTCTATGAGCAGTTCCTCACGTTCACATCTTTGTCTTTGGAGGTCCTTGTTCACTGAAAAAGAGAAGGAAGCAAATGTAAAAACAAACTCTCTTTCAAGTGGTCAATGCCTTTTATGGCTTATTCCTCTTTTTGATCATTAAAAATGGCTTTGTAGTTAGATATCATTGAATATTGCTAGTTGGAAACATGACTCTTATGTTGAAACACCACACTACTTCCTAAGTCATTTTATAAAAGCTTCATAATCATTTTCACATTTATTTTCCTATAGTGACAGAGTTTCTCAAGCTAGAAGATTTCACAGGGGATTTTGGAAGATTTGTGATGACATATGTAACCGCAAAATGCAAAAAAGTTGCAGTTTTCAAAGATATTCAAATATTATAATAGAAATAAAAAATTAAAATTGGTCTATACATTTAACATTACTCTAATATGAGCTAGAAAGGAAACTTTTAATACAAAGTCAGTGTTTTTTATTTTTTGGATTCAGTACAGAATCTATATATAGAATCTATATATTCTATTAATTTTTTTTCCTCACATACATAGGTCTTTATACATAAAATTATATTGCTGCATTTATATTTTTGAAAGAGGGTCCTCTCATAAGGGGATAATTTGTGGGTCATTAGCCTCAAACAGTTTAAAAACACCTAAATTACACTATAGACATCAATTTGTCACTGTAGTTAATATTTTAAAATATTATGAATTAACGTATTGTAACTACAAACCATTTATTTGTTTCTAAATATGCAGTCATTTTTAGTAATGTTCAGCTTTTGAGGTACGATACAAGGCAAATTTATTTAAAAAAAAAATTCCTGCTATTCATGAACACCTTAATGAAGATTCCTTGTGAATCATGCTAAAGATATAGAGACATTTTTCAAAAGGTGCGTTACAACATAAAATGATAAAAACGTAAACATCTGGCTCTGAGACATTTTTGAATTCCCATCAAATGTGGAAGAAGTGAAGAAATTTGTGAAAGACTCATGGTCTGCTTGACTCCTTCACGGCTTTTTCACCCACATTTGACATTCTCTCATACATAAACACACGCCCACTTCTTTTGCTTTTTTGATTGATGTCTGGACTGTTTGTCTTCTAAATTCTGTAGCAAATATCTCACTGCCTCAGTCTTTCCCAGACCAGACACTGTAACTAGATACTGCTTGCATTGCTACTTTTGACTGATTACTATGAAGAATGACTAATAACCTCTAAGAACAGTTTTAATTGAGGACTATTGTGCTTTAATGACAAAAAAAAGTCTGTTATATAATTTCCTCAAAGGACACTTTCCGAATGGCCAAATCACAGTTTATATTTTACTCACCAAATTGCAAAAGGTGTGAATAATGTGAGTAAAAAAACTCTTTTACTTTTTTTTACTCAAAAGACAGGGACTAAAAACACTTCACGAGTTCAGTCAATAGGTCATGAGGACAAGTTGGAACACGATTTCCTGATCCATTAAACGACAACACCATTTGATCTAAAGGTATAAAACCAACTGTAAAAATCTCTAAATAGTATTCCCATAATAGTATTATGCGCCTGTCACAACATGAGGGACAGGGAGTGATCCAGCTCCAGTCTGTCTCCTGCACACTCTATCAACGCTCTTTTGTATTTTACTGTATTATTGTTTATTGTATTACTCTTATTTACTTCTACTTGTGAACCTGTAATATTTTCATACCTCAATTACTGTTTTTGTTCTTTTCTTCATATTATTTTGCACTACTCCATTCTTGCACAGTTTTGTATGCAGCAATGCTGCACTGCTTTGGCAATAGGAATGTACAAATATCTGTCATGCCAATAAAGCACCTAAACGGTGCAACTGTGTGTGTGTGTGTGTGTGTGTGTGTGTGTGTGTGTGCGCGCACGTTTTTGTGACAAATGAGGACATACATTTGTATAATGACAAGGGTATGACATAGGTATTACAAGGAGAAGGGGACTTTTCAGGACATTACCCCATGTCCCCACTTTTCAAAATGCTTATAAATCACACAGAATGGAGTGTATTGAAAATCTGAAATAGCACAAAGTCTCCTGTGAGGGGTAGGTTTAGGGGTAGGGTTGGTGTAGGGCAATAGAATATACGGTCTGTACAGTATAAAAACCATTACGCCTATGGGATGTCCCCACTTTTCACAAAAACAAACCTGTGTGTGTGTGTGTGTGTGTGTGTGAGAGAGAGAGAGAGAGAGAGAGAGACCCATGACTGATAGGATACCAGTTACAATTCAAAAGTTAAAGTTAAATTATAGACATATTACGAATTAAATTATTTACCTGTTGAGAGCGTGTTGATGGTCTGTGTAGTCACAAAGAATAATTTCAGCATAATCGGGTTCTTCAGGACGATATGGTTGTGTTACAACGTGTAAAGAACCTTTAAAGAGTGTAGAACGTAGAAAGAATTTTTTTTTAAGTATCTTTAGGACGTTTAAAACATTACTGTCAATTTGTCTGATAATAACACTGTAATTTGATCAGAAAAAAAGTCAAAATTTGGTTTATTTTCCAACCATTTCTACTTAGAAATAAAGAATCTTTCTCCAATAATTAAGAAAAGTAAAGGCTGACATCTTTGTCTCTGTGTTGAAAACTATAAAATATAGGGTATGTTTAGAGAAAGCATTCTTTTTTGATCTACGGCTCTTCGTTGCCCTCCAGCGGACTCCACTCACGGCTCACGCACGCCGTGTAATGCGCATGCGCAGTGCAATGTGCGTCCATTAGCAGCATCGCTACTGGTTTTCAAACAGGATGAACGCGCCACCGGCATTCGAGTCCTTTTTGCTATTTGAGGGAGAAAAGAAGTAAGTGCAATACAACGCAATCTTTAATAGTAAGTGATACTAACTGAACTAACTAAAACCTGTAATGAAACCAATTCAGTCAGGTGGAATTCGGGAGTTAGAAGTGCTTAGCTTGTTGGCTAACGACAATTAACGGTAGTAAGTATTTACCTGGTCTGTTGTACTTAATGGATACCTCACAGAGCTTTTTATTTTACAAGCTATACACTAGAGTCGAAAAATTTTATTATATAATATATATATATATTCTCTCTATATACACACACACACACACACACACACACACACACACAAACGTACATACATACATTAACAAACGGTTTTGGAGATGGTACCATGACATTTTTTGTATCATGTGAATAACTATAGTGTGTGTATGTATATATATATATATATATATATATATATATCTCAAAGTACCATATTATCTCCATCACCGTACCATAACAGTACAGTTTGTAAAGGGAAGTAATAGCATAATATTCCTGTTCAGCTTTTTTTCTTTTTTTTTTACAGAATCACAATAGTTAAAGACACCAAGGTGCCAAATGCATGTCTGTTCACACTGAATAAAGAGGATCACACACTGGGGAACATCATCCGGTCGTAAGTGCACAAGCATCTGATGGCCAAATGTGTTGGTTTTTGTATTCAACCTATGACATGTTTCCATAAGACAACTGCTGAAGGACCCTCAGGTGCTGTTTGCTGGATATAAGGTTCCTCATCCTCTGGAGCACAAGATAGTGATCCGTGTTCAGACGACACCAGACTACAGTCCCCAGGAAGCCTTCACGAATGCCATCACTGATCTGATCAGTGAACTGTCCCTGTTGGAAGAGCGATTCAGGGTGTGTGTCATATACATAGTCTCTTTCAGTTCAGCGAGGGATGACGGGATTTGATTTATTAGTGATATTTGCTGCGGCAAGCATCACTATTATTATAGCTTATACGTACAGTAAGGGATTTGAACAACCTATAACTATCTAAGTTGGGAACTTCAGTGTGTAAGGGCCTGTTGTATTCGGTGCGATAATTTTATCTTGAACAAAGTATTGTTAACGTGTCTTTTCAGACTGGCATAAACATTTGCATGTCATCAATACGACATATTGACGTATTTTTCAAAATCTCTTTTCCATTGCACTGAGAAGAAAACTGGCCAGCTGATAATATTAGTGCTTTTGTTCATATGCCCAGAGCTGCTGCTGTTACATAAAACTACGACTTGGTGGCACTCACGAATAGAGTATTTTGCAAAGTGACGGTGAATAGCAGAGGAAGAACCTGTTATAATACTGTTATAATATTTGCTATGATTGTTAATGGTTACGTTATTTCAAGCAACAATTTATTTATTTATTTTTTATGGTTTTAGTTTTGATTAACCCTGAATCACATACCCTGGGTGGCCTTATAATAGTGTTAAAAAAGACATTTTAATTGTAGATGTTTTTTAATATATATATATATATATATATATATATATATATATACAGTAAAAGATTAAGAAAACCTGCATTTTAGCTCGAGCTGCAAAATTTCTCTGCATAAAAATGGAAATATGTGTATGTAGCTGCAGCTGGCTGATGAGAGGTGTGCATTCTGAACAAATTAATGTGCATGGGCACATGTGAATTAGGCATTTGAATTTCCATAAGAAGTCCCCTGTGAATATAAGTACAAATGATCCACACAATTATTAGTGAATGAGAACTATTGTGTTGAGGAGACTGTATTTTATATTCCAGAAACTGATGTTGCTTTTTTCATTTTAGGTTGCCATCAAAGACAAACAAGAGGGCATAGAATGAAGACCATCAAACTCCATTGGATGACAACTAGGCTAATTCACAATGGACTGCACAATAGTCACTCTTAAACTGGGTTTCTGTGATGGGCTACAATACTCCCATTTATTTATTTTCATTAAATATTATGAGGTCAGTTGACAAGCTCTCATAATAAATAGTAAAAGAGATTTTGAACAGCCTCTAACAACACTGAGCTTAAGATCTGTGGAGTTCCTCCTCCAATTTTGATTTTCTAACAAAGCATGTTGGTATGATGAAATGATCAAATCTTCAATATTCTTCAAGAGTATTTCATCGCACACCAAATGTATGTAAAAGGAAATAATTTCCTCTTCAGTGTCCCACTCAGTTGTGATGTAGTTTATTTTTTTGTTATTAATAAATGGGCTTTTGTAATGAAATGCATTAACTTGCATTTATTTGAATCTTAACATTGTGGCTGTATTGTTTTCATGGGTTTGTGAAGCTCGTGGTTTTCGATTTGGGACCTTCGGTTGTTTCAAAGGGGACGCAAATGTGCTAAACAAATGTAACTTGAGCAACTTGAGCGCTACTGGACAGATGTAGAGTATTAACTGTGGTTGTAAAGGAGTAAGATCATGTCTGAGGTGCGAGGGGTTGGAGCCTAAACAACATTTACTTCAGCAGAATGAGCTGGGGAGTCAACAACACTACGAAAAGCGCTCGTCTTGACGCGGATTTGGCGTTTAAACGAGCTGACTACTGTCGCCATCAGTATAGCAGTTGAACAGAGTCCTCCATTAAATTAAATCAAACCTTTTTTTCTGCCCAGACTGAATATTGTGCTACTACGCTAAACACACTACCGTTCAAAAATCTGTTGTCAGTAAACAAATATTGTTTGTGAAATCATTATCTTACGCTCACAAAGGCTGCATTTATTTGATCAGAAATACAGTAAAACAGTAAAGTTGTGAAATGTTATTACAATTATTTTTCTAATTTATTTCACTTGTGATGACAAAACTATATTTTCAGCATCATTACTCCAGTCTTCAGTATCACATGATCCTTCAGAAATCATAATGTGCTGATTTGTTGCTGAAGAAACATTATTATGTTAAAAACAGTTGTGCTGCTTAATATTTTTGTGAAAACATTGATCAATTTTTTAAGGATTTCTTCAAATAAATGTCTTTACTGTCACTTTTGATCAATTTAATGCATCCTTGCAGAAATGTTGATTTCTTACCAAAAAAAAATAAAAATACTAACCTCCAGTAGTGTATTAAAAAAATGATATATTCTGTTGCAGACACATTATGATTTCACCTATGATCCGGTGTCAAAGGCAGCAGTCGGAGAGGAGGAAAGTGGCACTCAACAGTCCTTTACGTTTCCTGGAATATTTTTGTGGGAGAATTTTGTTTCAGAAGATGAAGAGAGGGAACTGATCGCCAGAATGGATCAAGATGTTTGGAGAGATTCTCAATCAGGCCGTCGAAAACAGGTGAATTAAGAAAAAAACTGAGAGAATGAACTACTAAATAAATACATTCCTTTAACCTTTTATTCTTCAGCAGCATGATCTTTAAGTAGTTATGGCAGTCAGTGAAATTTCTTAACTAAACTGCAAAAATCCTAAAAGGTGATTTAAAAGAAACTGAAAAAAGAAAACCTTATTCACAATGTCTTCTACCTATGGAAGCTTGTTTTTGCCATACGATAAAAATCTAAAAGTTAATTGTTACTTCATCAGAATTATTCTTAGTTTCTCAGTTAATGTGAGGTTATAAAACCTGTAAATCAGTACTATTGTAATGGCATCCAAATAACTATATATATATATATATATATATATATATATATATATATCCACAGGACTTTGGGCTTCAAGAAACGTTGTGTTTGTGTGGGAAACTTCACTGGCCTGCCTGCTATGAGCCGTCACCTGGTGGACAGGATGTCAAAGGCACCTTCTTCAATCCAGTAGAGCAGTGCAACCTAGACTATGATCCCCTCAGAGGCTCTGCCATTGACCCTCACTTAGATGATAGTTGGCTGTGGGGAGAGCACTTGGTCACCATTAACCTGCTCTCAGACACTGTCCTCACGATGAGTTTAGATCGAGGCTGGGGAGACATGGACGATGGGGAGGTGAGAGTAGCCGTGCATTCACCACGCAGATCACTGATTGTACTCTATGGAGAGGCACGTCACCGGTGGAAACATGCCATCCACAGGAAAGACATTCACAGGCGCAGAGCGTGCAGCTCCTTCAGCTGTCTGAGGAGTTTCTAAAGGGAGGAGAGCAGGAGAAACTGGGCTCAGAGTTGCTAGATATAGCACTATAAGCTGCCTTTGCTTTGATATGTGAATGTATGTACAGTTTTCTTTACAAATGTAACGTACAGTAAACTGATTATTTTTAACTCTTAATAAATTAATATTATTTTATTTTGTGTTGTTATTTTGTGTGAATGAATAAAGGATATTATATGAGCTGCAATAATATCAAACGAGTTTTTTTTTCTTGAAATATACATCCATGATTTAATGATTCCCTTATATATTTAGAGCAGACAGAAATTGCTCTAAATATATATAAAAAAAAACTATTTTAGGGGGTTGGTAGAAAACATGATTATGAAACCATGCCCTTCATAATTTAATCCAAGAGGTCTGATGATTCAGCATAGATGCCATTATTTGTGAGCCTTTTACATTAAAACTAAAAATGAAATGTATAACGTTTTAAAATATTTTTGATTTGGTTTTAGTGGTTCTCAACCCTTTTGGCTCCTGTATTAAAAGGCCCTCATATCTAAGCTGATATGTACCTCTGCTTCTTCTACCGTAATAAAAACTCAAAATATTATGTCATTTTAATGTGGCACATCTTAAATTTTAAGCTTTTTAATTTAGATTATATTAATATAATTACATTAAATAACTTAAGACTTATTGGGGCCCCTTGGAAATTTGCCGCCCCCCCCCAGTAACTGCCATAGATATGAATATAAATATCTATGGCAGCAATCCTCAAATCTGGCCCACAGGATCCACTTTCCTGCAGAGTTTAGCTCTAACCCTAATCAAACACACCTGAGCATGCTAATCAATGTCTTCAGGATCATTAGAAAATCACAGGTAGGTGAGTTTGATCAGGGTTGGAGCTAAACTCTGCAGCGCATTGGCCCTCCAGGGCAAGATTTGAGGAACCCTGATCTATGTTAACTGCATCTTCAAATTTTCTGACTACAGTACCACACTCAATATGGCGGAATGGTGACGCCAAAACCAACCTTTACGTCAAAGACGGTCAAAGTTCATTTGTATTTTCCCGGGAAAACGTTCTGTAGTTCTAATCCACGTGACAGCGAGTACTATATATTTAAAGATCTCTTGCTCCGCATGTATATTAGAGGTAAGCTGTGTAAATCGATTTAAACCCAATACATTTGTCTGTAAAACTTTCATTTAATAAACCTAAGTGCAGCCGCACAATGAACATGCTATAACATGCAGTTACGAATTTAGCAGTCAGTTGTTGTAAGCACTTAATAAATACGTTACGTTATAAAGAAAATACGCGCAACATTTAAATATCTTCGTCGTTGTGCTTTCAAAATTGCTTTTAGCGTCATTTTACTAATTTACTTATACTTTTTTAGTTTTTAATAAGTTATAATAATTGGTTTCGGGATTATAACCACCACGCAGTTTCTTTGCTTACTTAGCCCTTTCCAGTATTAACAAGATGCAAATTATGTTTCTCTCTAGTCTCTACAAAAGTTTCACGGCGATCTCCTGTGTTCAGAGCCGCTATAGGGCGTGAATAGGCCACTTGTCCTGTATCATTACATAACAATACCAGATACATTGTGGTTCTGACACCTAAACATCCAATAGCAAGAGTTTTACTACGTGTCTGAAACCTGTTATCAATACAGCCCACCTTTATAAGGTCTGATTAGACACAGTACTCACATTTTCACTGTGCAGCCATGGAGAAGATAACCGAGAAGATACTACTGGAGAAGAGCTCCCCAAAGACAAACAAATTGGAACAGATCAAGATCCTCAAGTAAGAAAGTCATTTTTGTCTTTCCTAGGCACACAGCGGTGTGTTATGGTTTTAAAGAATAGAAAAGACTATTGTAATGCCCTTATGTTAAAAACGGAATTGTTTAAAAAATATTGCTCTGGTGTACTCATGTAATCTCTGTTCTGCACAGTCTCTCACGTATGGGTCTGAAGGGCGAGGATCTGCCTGTGCCTCTGCTATCTAAACTGTGTAGTCTGGAGCAGTTGGATTTGTCTGGGAACATGTTGCAGGAGATTCCCAAAGGCCTCTGTCTGCCCTCCCTGAAGATCCTTAACTGCTCAAACAATGAAATGGAGGATGTAGTGTCACTGGAAGCCCAGAGAAACGTAGAGGAACTTCGACTAGAGGACAACCTCTACCTCACAGTGAGAATCATGCTCTGAAATTCAATCCTTACGTTAAAATTTTTATTTTTTTTAATCAATAGCATCTTTAGTGCCATTTTAGACACTGTGGGTTTTATTGTGTCTATGAATTGTGTTATGTTTTGTTTGTTTTTTAGGTCAATGATGAACACAAAGTGATCTTCCTGTTACCTAAACTGAGGATGTTCAATGGGAAGGATATCAGCTCTACGGCCCATCATATTCGCCATGGCAGCACCGAGATCCTCAGGAAGAGGGTGAGAACTGACTCTTCCACTTGTCACTTTCAACCATTGACCACAGCGAAAACAGTTTGTCTGTGCGACGTCTTAAATGTGCTTTTTTTGGTAACTTTTAGGTGATTGGTGTGTGGGAACGAAGCTTCAGTCTCCCCGATCCCATTACAGCACAAAGTCTGGCTGCTGTAGAGAAGCGATTTGTTCATGCTGCCTGCACCCAAATCAAATATGGTCCAAATTCCTTGAGTGAATACACAAAGTGGAGGGTGGGTACTCTAGTGTGAATATTGTGTTTAATGGTCCTGACATAGATTTTGAATTCATAGAGACTTCACTCGGATGGTCATATGTCCTCTTTTTCCCAGACATGTCCTGGCCCAGTTTCTAAATCGCCTAATGGGTTTTAGCTTTATTTTCCTATTGACATGCTCTCTACAATTCTCATACTATATATATGTATATGTGTGTTTGCATTCCTTTTGAGTGTTCTGTAGATCCCATCTTGGACGCCACGATTGGTCTCTTATGTACAATGCCAGCACACTTTTGGTCAAACTACTACTGAACTTCTACAGCAAGTTTGAAAACAAAGTCAAAACCCTGACATTTTAGGCAGTTTAGAAATCCTGGCCAGCACATGTCCAGGAAAGACGTATGAAAAAGATGTACTTAAATTTGGTTGCATTTCACCTCATTCCGTTTATGCTTTTTTATTATTTTTAGGTTGAAATGATTGCAAAGGAATATTTGAAGTCGCTGACATGCAGTGATGGAGGCAAAATCACATATACGACTCCAACAAAGGAAAATGAGGTAAAGCCATCTGCATAATTTTGTTGAGTGTCATATGATACATCAGGCTTGTAACAGGTTTTTAAGCAAAGTTTAGAAATTTGCATGCCAGATATGATAAAGTAGGCTTCATACGGCTAAAATGCTTTCTCCCATCCCAACTTAAGGCTGTATCGAGGGAACCTTTTGAAAACATTTGTAACACTATCAATTTTTTTTTACACCACACAGACTCCTGCAGAGAGAAGACCTCGTGATCTTGGTGGTAACAGTGTCACAAGTCCTCAGAAAAGAACCAGAAACAACTCCGAGGTGGCCGCAGAGGCCAGTCCACGAAAGTCAAGTCGCCTGGCGAGTGCAGCTCCAGTTGAGGCTAGTCCACGAAAATCCACACGAGTGACGAGCACTCCACTGAAAACTGACCCTATAATGTCCAGCCCCAGAAAGCACGCCAGAATGACCAATGTAGGCACCCCAGAGGGTAGTCCAAGGAATTCAAGCCGCCTGGAAAATATTTCTCAGAAAGGTGCTAGCAAAACTGAAAGCCCCAGAAAGGCAGCAAAGCCAGTCATCTCTACGCCCACATCAAGACCGGCTAAAGGTGAGAGCCCGAGGAAAACAGCTAAAGATCAGACCACGGCTCAACAGAGCAAACCGAAAACTGCCAAAACCGAAAACAACACGCCTCGGAAAACTGCCAGTGCCAAACTCAAAGTTCCTCAGGTGAGTCAAAGGCATTTTTTTTCTGTATATATTGACAATGCATACAGTGACTTGAATAAACATCTATGACAAGAAACTAAAAACGTACTGAATTCATATTCGGATATTTTTTTTGGAGGCATGAAATTAAAAAAGTCAAGATAAGGAACCTTATTATATAGTTTAATCATCTTTTATTGTTTCAGTAATAAAAAAATAAATAAAAAAAAAGGTTTGGACATGCCTATTTTTTTTTTTTTGGCCTGAAACTTTGACCTTTAATGAACATTCTGACTAAAGTTTGTGTCTTAAAAAAAAATTTCCTTATTGTGCCAGACTATTATATTTGCATGTGAATGGTCACCGAATCACTCTTAAGTTGTGGATTCCTGTTGTTGCTTTTATACTTGCATTCAGTTTTCTGTTGATTGCTCGTTGTACAGTCATTAGCGCATCGTTAATGGGCGTTAAAGTTTGTGTCTTAAAAAAAAATTTCCTTATTGTGCCAGACTATTATATTTGCATGTGAATGGTCACCAAATCACTCTTAAGTTGTGGATTCCTGTTGTTGCTTTTATACTTGCATTCAGTTTTCTGTTGATTGCTCGTTGTACAGTCATTAGCGCATCGTTAATGTGCGCCTCTCTCTCCCTCGTGGTTACAGGAGCCGGTGAGTCTGCAGCCGTTGCATGTCTTGCAGTGTCACAGTCGACAGGACAGTCCTGACGACTTCAGCACTCAGCTTTGGGCCTGTGCCTTTGAGCCCCCACAGGAATGCAGTGGTGGTGGTGAGCACTATCAAGTGATTCATTTCAAATTTAAATCGAGATGCATGCTTGAATGTGTTTTTGATCTTCTACGACTGGCACTGTTTTTAATCTGTTAGGTATCAGTGGTGGGTCTCGGACAGTTGCCACATGTGGAGGGGAAACTTTGTGTGTGATTGAGTGCGAGTCAGGACACGTGCTGAAGAAATACAAGGTTCCTGGTGAGGTGAGTGCTGAGAAGTTCTGTACAATACCGTCTCTGACCACCAGGTGGCTTAGTTATGTATACCAATCTGTTTTCTGTATCACATCAATGATACATGCAATACACTGGTTATTCCGAAAATCATACTTGAGTTCTTCTATTTCTGCGGTGTACATGTACCTGTGCATGCACAGAATGCAAATATCCCATATGGATTGAATACCTAGATGACCCAACATTTGCCAAAAATTGGCAATACTTTTTCCCACAATGCAATGTGCTCAACTTGACAGTCCTTTTGTAATGAACATAACCAATACTGATTATTTTTTTTCATTTATGGTATCAATAATGATTATTTGTATGTTTGTGTCTGATAACCAACATGCAGAAAAAAAATTTACTTCCATGTTTTTGTAAAATTTCCTTTTTCTATCACAATAAAAAATATTTTTTTACAGTTACACCAACAATAAAACAGCAGGCAAAAAAAGACAGTCTACTATTTTCAAATGGAGAAATGAATAACAAGTAAATCAACTTTGCATAAATGTAATCATTTGTTTTAAAGGGGTCATATGATGCTTTTTTTAAAGATCATTATTTGGTGTAACTGAATATGTTGACATGCTTTAATGTTAAAAAAACACATTATTTTGGCCGTACACCGCAAGCACTCGTCGGAAATGTAAAGCCCCTTACCATAATCGTGAGCTTCATCTTTCAAAATAAATGTAAAGACCGAGCCCGAAAGGGGAACAGAGTCGCGTGACACACAGTGATGAAGCTGGTATGTGTGCAGTACACAAGCCACGGTTAAGACAGCTGACTCCACTGTGATGTGACCCTGTCTCTCGCTCTCCCTCTCTCTCGCGCTCGCTCTCTCAATTCAATTTTCAATTTAAGAGTGCTTTATTGGCGTGACAAAAATGATACATTTGTATTGCCAAAGCAATTGCAGCTGGACTGCTTAGAAATAGTACACATGTACACACACGATGCACAAAACTCCGCAATTGAACAGTCAATAGCAAATACTTAAACCAATAACAAAACAGTAGCTGATTCAGAAGCTGACTCCGCTGTGATGTGCGCCTGTCTGTGTCTCTCTCTCTCTCTCTCTCTCTCTCTCAATTTTCAATTTAAGAGTGCTTTATTGGCATGACAAAAATGATACATTTGTATTGCCAAAGCAATTGCAGCTGGACTGCTTAGAAATAGTACACATGTACACACACGATGCACAAAACTCCGCAATTGAACAGTCAATAGCAAATACTTAAACCAATAACAAAACAGTAGCTGATTCAGAAGCGCCAGATTGTCATAGCAAAGTCAGAATTACCTCCTCTCCTAGGTTCACGAAACGGTCGTCCATAAAATGCATTGCTGTTCTGTTGTAAGTAATCTTAAAGATTCCTAAATGCATCTACTTTCGGAAGGCCAAATAAAGTGCTTTTGCTTTCGCCTAGAAACACATCGTCTCCCTGACATGGCTGCTTCAACACTAACTGCGGTTACTGAAACCACGCCTTCTTTCTTTGCGTGCTCATTATGCTAATATTTCCACATAGTGAGGTAGATATGTGGGGGCGTGTTAGAACGAGCCATTTTAGGGGGGCGTGGCAGAGTCTTAACTTTGATAAAGAATATCAGATATTTAGTCTTTGCAACTTTAGGGATCTTATCTATGCACAATCAGCTTGTAACACTCCAAAGAGAAAGGAAAACTTGAAATTGCATCATATGACCCCTTTAAACTGCAGTTTAAAATGAAGGTTGAGATGTTTATTAGGCTAAGAAGTAGAGACAACTAATTTACTGGAATAGTTATACATTTTCAGTAAAATAACAAACAAAACGGTAAATATGTAACATTAGAGTCCGTTAAGAATGGCATGTTAGCAGAGGTATTAATATTGTTACAGTACGGAGCCCTGCACATGGTATGCAGGTAAAAAAAATATAATGGGCGTGAATTAAGAATTCGTTCCCTCATATTGGTAAATTGGGGCCACGTTGTAGAAGTTTCACTCATTTTAATTAAATCAAAACAAGGGAACAAATTAGTTCAACATTGCCATGTTTTACTAAAAAAGAAATGGGTCATTATGGGAACAAATTCTTAATACATGGCTGCGATTTACCTAAAATGAGGGAAAAAATTCTCAGTTTGTGGCCATGATAAATATATTTTTGTCCACATGTGATGTATGGAGCTCCACAAAATGGCAGTTTTGTGTGCAATTCTTGAAACGGTGGATTTGATGTAACAGAACTATCAGATAAAAAAATATATATATTTGTCGTTAAAAATGTAGGTAAAACTGATTATTGGTCGATTTAATATTACTGGAAGTAATATTAAATTCTTTTTTTTTTTTAAACATGATTTTTCTAAGATGAACTGGATAGCACCACAACAGCTAAAATGATTGCATAGTGCCTACTTTTCCGAATACTATTGAAAAAGACAATGTGTATTATGTACTGTATGTAGAGAGATTCCATTCAGTATGTGTTCCATTATGAACATAGCTACTGATGCTGAAGAATCCAGTAGCCTGTTCTGTTAAAAGCAAATGGGCTGCATTTGACTGGCATCCAGTGGCTGTAAATGTAATGTTGCATCCACTGTTGTCTTGCAGGAGTTCTTCTCATTAGCATGGTCCACGGTGCTGATGTCCAGGACAGGTGGCTCTGCCCGTCCCTGCAATATCCTGGCAGCTGGGGGTAAGAGGGGTCTGGTGAAGCTTATCCATCCCCGAGTCAACCTGGCATTTGGAGAGTTTCGTGCCAGTCGACGTGCCATTTCCATTATGCGCTTCAGTCCACGCAACGCTAGCTTTCTCTTCAGTGAGTTAAGCAATCAGTGAACACAATGAGACTTTAGTTGAGCTATATAGATGTAACTAAAAATCACTTTATTTCTGTTTACAGCTGGGACATATGAAAATAAGATCTTTTTATGGGATATTGGTGGACTGGATCGTGATTACAACTTCAAAATCAGGTTGTTTATTTATTGTTCAGGATTTTTTAATACTTCATTTAGAATGATAGAATGTGCTGCGTTTTTGTTCAAAAACATTTGCATTTTTACAAACCTTTCCATTACACTTGTATTTCTTTTATTTATTTTTACAGTAAGCTGCTAGTCCTGGAGACTTGCTCCACTCCTCTGCATCTCTCTCTGCTCCCCACGTCTCCAGACACGCACCTCCTCATGCGCAAAACTCTGCATTTGAACAGTCAATAGCAAATACTTAAACTAATAACAAAACAGTAGCTAATTCAAAAGCGCTAGATTGTCATAGCAAAGTCAGAATTACCTCCTCTCCTAGGTTCACGAAACGGTCGTCCATAAAATGCATTGCTGTTCTGTTGTAAGTAATCTTAAAGATTCCTAAATGCATCTACTTTCGGAAGGCCAAATAAAGTGCTTTTGCTTTCGCCTAGAAACACATCGTCTCCCTGACATGGCTGCTTCAACACTAACTGCGGTTACTGAAACCACGCCGCCTTTCTTTGCGTGCTCATTATGCTAATATTTCCACATAGTGAGGTAGATATGTGGGGGCGTGTTAGAACGAGCCATTTTAGGGGGGCGTGGCAGAGTCTTAACTTTGATAAAGAATATCAGATATTTAGTCTTTGCAACTTTAGGGATCTTATCTATGCACAATCAGCTTGTAACACTCCAAAGAGAAAGGAAAACTTGAAATCGCATCATATGACCCCTTTAAACTGCAGTTTAAAATGAAGGTTGAGATGTTTATTAGGCTAAGAAGTAGAGACAACTAATTTACTGGAATAGTTATACATTTTCAGTAAAATAACAAACAAAACGGTAAATATGTAACATTAGAGTCCGTTAAGAATGGCATGTTAGCAGAGGTATTAATATTGTTACAGTACGGAGCCCTGCACATGGTATGCAGGTAAAAAAAATATAATGGGCGTGAATTAAGAATTCGTTCCCTTGCATCATATGACCCCTTTAAACTGCAGTTTAAAATGAAGGTTGAGATGTTTATTAGGCTAAGAAGTAGAGACAACTAATTTACTGGAATAGTTATACATTTTCAGTAAAATAACAAACAAAACGGTAAATATGTAACATTAGAGTCCGTTAAGAATGGCATGTTAGCAGAGGTATTAATATTGTTACAGTACGGAGCCCTGCACATGGTATGCAGGTAAAAAAAATATAATGGGCGTGAATTAAGAATTCGTTCCCTCATATTGGTAAATTGGGGCCACGTTGTAGAAGTTTCACTCATTTTAATTAAATCAAAACAAGGGAACAAATTAGTTCAACATTGCCATGTTTTACTAAAAAAGAAATGGGTCATTATGGGAACAAATTCTTAATACATGGCTGCGATTTACCTAAAATGAGGGAAAAAATTCTCAGTTTGTGGCCATGATAAATATATTTTTGTCCACATGTGATGTATGGAGCTCCACAAAATGGCAGTTTTGTGTGCAATTCTTGAAACGGTGGATTTGATGTAACA